GTTAACATAACCTTTATATTAACTGAATTATTTCTCTCTCTTCTAACTGTTCAAAAATACCGAACAAAGTGAGACTTTGCCTCACGTGAAGGAGATTGGTTTTCATGATAGAATAGAAGTTTAGGATCTCTTTTGATACATTTTATACTTGGAAAAATTCTACTTTCTATATTTTTTCAAGTCATCTTTATGTAATTTGTATCTAGGAAATCAGTGTTACACCATTTATATGTGCCCACAAAATTATTAATATAATATTAATTTCGGAAAAGAATTATTCAATCCAAACTAATGTTTGTATTTTAAATGACACACAAAAGGTTGATAATCTATAAAACAGATCAATCAGTTAATCAATTTTTCTTTCTTATTCTGACTTGCATTTTAAAAACATCTCATTCAAAATTCTTTTATTTAAAATCATATTCTTGCTTCTCTGCACCTGAATTTCCAAATTCTTTAATCAACTTTGATGACCTTACCTTAAAATTGTTTTTAAATTCCCCGTTAATACCATCAATTACTTGAACACCTTACAATTCTTTTCCTTATTATTCGCCAGTAGCAAATTAGATTTTCATGATTAGTCAGTGATTTTTCTGAATAAACCTTTCAAGTGATGACGAGAAATTTCTGGTTTTAGTCATACTAGTTATGTAACTTTACAAAGAGTTTTATTTTATTTTTTTTTATTTTTACTAAAATTACCATTATTTTCATGTATTGGAATTTTGAAATTTCGAACTTAAGATTAAAGTCGATTTCTCAGAATGAAGCGTTTCTTTTCTCATTTTTATTTATCAAATAAAATCGAAAAAGAAAACTCAACACAATATATAAGAAGAGATATATCTTAAGAACTAAATGATATATCACAAATATTTTTCGAAAACCAATTATTCGAATTGTAAGTTGTTTGAATGAAAATTAATCGAAAGGACAATTATATTAAATGATAATTATACAAAATGAAAAAATCTTTATTGCAATAAAAATATAAAAATTTAAATAGGAAATACACAAATCATAATTATTCGAAATATGAATATCGCTTATTGTTGAAACTTGACTAATGCATGGAATAATAATGCAACACAAAATGTACTTAGAACAAAATGTATTGAAACAAGAAAGTGTACACAATATTTACATATAGTCTTTTGTATATTCCTGGTAAGACCGTTCCTGGAGAATGTGTTGACTGAGTCGCAGTCGGGCAGAGTCTCTGGTTGAATCTCTTGATTCCTCCCTCTCTTCCCGGTACCAACCATATTTATATGGTCGGTACTCCACTATGCAAATTAGGTGGATCCTACCACAACACTTATAAAACAATTTAGTAAGAAAAATCATTATACCCTTAAGTTATATAATTACTGCACACAAATATATATGGTCTGGAGCCCCCTCTGTTTGTCCCAAGGTCCTTGATAAAATCCAAAGACGGATATGTAATGTAATTGGCCCTGATCTGGCATCTCGTATGCAGTCGCTCTCTCACAGACGTGCCGGCGCCTCCCTCTGTTTTTTTTTACAAATACTTTCACGGTAATTGCTCCGGTGAGCTCCTTTCGCTGGTTCCCAAACTTCATGAATTTAAGCGTTTTACTAGGCTGGCATCTCGCTCACACCCTTTCACTGTTGAAACTGTTAAATGTAGGTGTCTCTTCTACTCCAAAAGCTTCATGTCTCGCACATCTCGCCTGTGGAACTCCCATCCATTTTTCTGTTTCCCTGATAGCTATAATATCCAACTATTCAAATGTAATGTCAATCGACGTCTCCAGATGCCTTGATCTATCCCCTATCCTTCTCTTCATCCTTTCCTCTATCACTCCTCTTTGCTCTCGCTCCAACTCTTTATAAACCCTTGCGTGCCAGTGGCTTCCCGCCTTGCTTGGGGTGAAACGCTTAAAAAAATAACTACTGAAGAGTCTCGTTAAAGCATGCCACTACATTTTAAAGTTTTCCATTTAACCGGTATTTCTTGGTGCTCTTGATATTTTGGCAATCTGCCCTTACTTTTGCAATATGAATTTCTTGCAAGTTCTGCTCTCTTTTAAGAGTTTCTAAGAATTTTTCATATTGTGTGATGATGGAACGACATTTGCAGCAAAAAAAAAGCCCTATGCTATACTTCGATGGCCTTATTAGTTCGAGGTAAATCAGCATTGATTCTCACAAAGCAAGACCACGTAAGTATTTCGAACAATTTTCTCGATAAGAATATTTTTATTAGGTTGTTTGTAAAGCTCACGCTCATTACTAACTGGGTTTTAATTATGTACCGAATTAAATATCTGTCTTGAGGACACATCCTACAGTGGATAAAGGCGTTAGTTAGATCCAGTTACAGGACCCAAAGAGTGTCATTTCAATACCTGGTTAAGGCGGTCGGGGACTTTGAGAGGGAAATTAACAGGAGATAACTGACATCCATTAGACATGGCACGTGGAACTAGAACAGTCTATATTTCTGAGATGAGTTATTATGTACACTATCTACATTATTCGGACAATTTACTCATCTCTGATTTATAGATTTCTGGCTACCTTTCACTCTAACTCAGGACGGACTCTAATATCCACATGCATGACTTATGTCCGCGAATATCTTCCGCTAGCTAGGGAACCCTCTCTTGAATCTCCAGACAACTCTTACATGTGTCTCCATCTCTCTCTCTACTTAACTCAGTCAGCTATCTCTTCTTTCTCTACCGTTCCCTTTACTCTCATGACTGTAGCGTACTAGAAAGTATTTCCGATAATATAAACAAAGCCATCTTCTTACACCCGTTTGCAAATATATTTCTCACCGGTAATTTAAATGCCCACAATACCAGGTGGCTTAAAACTCTGTCAATGACCTCGCTGGTATCCAAACCCTTAACTTCTCAATCTCTCAGGCAAGTGGTTGACTTCCCCACGCGTTTCCTCTGATCATGTGGTAATGTCTGTAAACATTTCTTTCTGATTTGGGGAGGGGGTCAATATTTGCCGATAGATAGGACCCTAACAGGTGCTACCACCGAAGGTCATGGTGTACCTAGGAACAACAACCATTAAGAGGTGTTTCCACGCTCCTTAAAACCTCCAATCTCCCAACCAGATGCCGGATGTAATTTATTGGCATATCCAGGACGACATTTATTCTGATTAATCTAATACTTCAATGGTGTATAAGCCTTTTGATCTTCTCTAGCTTGAAAAATAAAATATTTTTTCTAATTATTTTTCACAATAAAAATGTTATTTCTTTACAAATCATAATACATTAGAATCCCTGACAACCGGACTAAGAAGGCTTTCTGGATATGAGGAATTGGTTACAAAGTCCGGATATGAGGGGTTATATTTAGATTAAAATAAAAGAACTGAAATCAGGTTTTTATTTGTAATGTTTTATAGTAAACAAAGTAAACTAATGGTGAGTGAAATATAAAGGATCTGATTTTAAGGAAAAAGAAAAAAATTATGTAATGTTAATGAAAATTCATTAAGTATGCCACGTATGCAAAACAAATAATGTAACAAGGATTTTGTAATCGCTGTTGCATGATGATTCTTTCTCTTCTAATGTCATTCTCAACTTTTTCCGCATTTCGTTTTGCTTTTGTTCTTGAAAGTTTTTAAACGAAAGACACTTTTTAACTCTGCGTACGTTATTGCAATCATCATAGCTGAATGCTGGCTTTCTTTCCATAAAACTGACAACATTTTCAATAGCTTTTTCAATTTCATTCCAGGTTTCATCACAATCATATTTTTTATTTCTTTGTTCATTGTGACAGTGTGAACGCTGAGAAATAGTTTCTTTGGAGGATTTTAGATCTTTCCTGTGTTGAACACAGCCATTAGTTACAATGAACTTTCACCAGCATCTAGACTGTTTAAAATTTCCACTTTTTGCGATAATTTCAAAGTTGTTCTTTTCCTATTCGTCCCATCATCTTTTACACCAATACAAGCCACTAGGGTGAAATAAGCATAAACAATTATCCAAGGTAAATTTCTTGAAAATCAGTTATATATTAACCAAATAGTTCAAATATACACATCAAAATGTCTGGATATGAGGGATTCTATTGTATTAACTTTTATCAAACGTATTTAATTATTTGAGGCCAAAAATAGTAAATGTATCTTCGTTTTTCTTACATTCTTTAGAATCAAAAGAATGTTTTCTAGAATTAATTTATAAAAACAACGAATCTTCATGTAAAAGCAATCGGTGATCAACAATTAAAATGAAATAAAAATAAATACTGTTTTAAGAAAATATATTTATAGGGGTTCCATTTTGTTACAGGCCACCATACTTAAAAACGGAAGCCATTCACTTCAAAGCAGTTACATGTCTCAGGTCAATCGGTAATAAATATATCTCACCCGCCCAAATTAACATTTGACTCGTACTTGACTGTACCTGTTATAAAAACATTTTTAATATTACGTAAATAAAATTTGAGAAACTCGAACGTATTAAATCGATTAAGGATTTAAAATATCTTAAGGTAATGACTACTTTTATTTTTAATAGATTTTTTTATTTCTTTAAAATATCGAGTTTTCTATTACTCTCATAACGGCCACTGTTGAACTTTTTGCTAATTAAAGAAAGAGTTTCACTTTGTAGCCGTTTAATTAAACTTTAATTAATTAAAAGTGTTGTCTTTTTTAAGATGCAAATGTGGGATCTTCGTTTTGTCGTGAAAACTAGAAAAACCATAAGAACTAATTTTTAAAATTTGTGATTACGATTTTTCGGCAAGACATTAAGAATTTCGTTGGAGATTGCAACCTATATCTATGGTCGATAGATTACACAAAAGAAATCGATAAGTTACGAGATAAGCAATCACGTAAAATATTGGAAAAGCTTGATTTACATGGAAAGATAGATAGATAGATATTAGGAGAGATAGATAGATAAATAGATATTAGGAGAAATAGATAGATATTAGGATAGATAGGTATTAGGAGAATTAGATAGATATATATTAGGATAGATAGATATTAGAAGAAATAGATAATAGGAGAAATAGATAGATATTAGGAGAATTAGATAGATAGATGGGTATTAAGAGAAATAGATGGATTGATATCGATATATTTCTTGTGTTTAATTATGTAATGAATAGGAATCAGAACAGAACACATCCTTTCACTTGGCTTTAATGGTTAGGGTGTTTGCAACCTCGTCCGAGAAAATGGATTTTTCTGATGGCGTTGATGCTGGCAGAGTAACCCGCGGTTGACACAAGAAAGAGATATTATCTCTGATGGTCGGCGGTGCTGCAGAGTATAGAGCGACCGATTTGCCAATTGTCTGACGCCGTCGACACTCGCCAATGATCAAGAGGCGTAAATAGATAAACAGATGGGCGGCTTTGTATAAACTTAACGGACAAGTGGGTCTAAACTGTAGGGAGAATAACAAAAATGAAACAGAAAGAAAAGATAATTAGATAATGGCGGGAAAACTGGAAATAGGAGGCGTGAAGAGAGAAAAGAAATAAAAATCTAAAGAATAAAGTAGATAAAAAGAACGTATGGTAGGGAACAAAAGAAAGCAGGCCTACAAGAGAAGAAAGAGATTAAAAGAGGAGATGAAGAGAAAAAGAAAGGAAAAGAAGAAAAGAAAGGAAAAGAAGAAAAGAAAGGAAAAACAAAAGTGAAAAAGAATACAAAATAGAGAAGCAGAAAGAAGAGAAAAATGTTAAAGAAAAAATGAAAAAGGGGCAATAGAAAAAGGAGAGAGAGAAGAGAAAGGAGGAAGAAGAAAAATTAACAACGGAAAAGAAAATAAAAATAAAAGAGAAAAAGGAAAGAAGAGAAAATGAAAACGAAGAAAAGAGAAAAATAAAACATTGACAATGAAAGAAAAAGTGAAAGGAGGAAGAAGAACAAATAACAATAAAGGAAAAGAAGAAAAAAGGAAAAGAGAGGAGGGAAAGCTAATTCAAAATAAAGAAAAAAAGGAACAGGAATAAGAAAAATGAAAACAAAAACAAAAAGAAAAGAGAAAAATGAAGAGGAAAAGAAAAGGGGGGAAAAGAAGAGAAGAAGAAAAGCAAATGGAGAAGAGAAAGAGAAAAGAGAAGAGAAGAAGAAAACAAAATGAAAAGAGAAAAGGAAAAAGAGAAGAGAAGAAGAAAACAAAATGAAGAGGAAGAGAAAAGGGAAAAAAGAAGAGAAGAGAAGAAGAAAACAAAATGGAGAAGAGGAAGAGAAAAGGGAAAAAAGAAGAGAAGAAAACAAAATGGAGAAGAGGAAGAGAAAAGGGAAAAAAGAAGAAAAAGAAATGGAGAAGAAACAAAATGGAGAAAAGAAGAGAAGAAAACAAAATGGAGAAGAGGAAGAGAAAAGGGAAAAAAGAAGAGAAGAAAACAAAATGGAGAAGAGGAAGAGAAAAGGAGAAGAGAAGAGGAAAACAAAATGGAGAAGAGGGGGAGAAAAGGAAAAAAAACGAAGAGATGAGTAAAAGAAATTGAGAAGTGTAAGAGAAAAGGAAAAAAAAAGAATAGAAGAGGAAAACAAAAGAAAAGAAGAAGAAAACAACGAAAAACGTAGGGTGAAGCGGAAAAAAGAAAGAAAATATTAAAGGAAGATTGAGAACAAAAAAGAGTAATCGATGAAAGAAAAGAGAAAAAATAAGACAAACAGCAAAATAATAGACGAGAAGAAAAATCAAATGAACGAAAAACAACAAAAACGCGAAGATGAAATTAACAAAAATGAAGTAAGATTGAAAGAGAAAATAAAGCAATAAGAAATATGACCAAATAAACAGTTGATTACGGAGGAGAGCTACAAAGATGAAAAACAAATAAGAAACAAAGCAGGAAAACATTTACTAAATTTAACAAGACACTAGCATGCTATAGTTTCAGGATATTTTAAACAAATATTATATACTCTACTACCCGTGAACCGTTGGGTCACTGTCGGTTCAGGATATAAAATATAAAAAAAAGTTAATTCCAACATTCCATTGAAATGAAAGTTAATTTTATTATGATTCAGTTAAATATTTCAATTCGTCCGAATTGTCATCATTGGACTGGCTTATAAGTTTAACATTTTAATAATTGTTTACAGCATTTAATAAGAATAGAATTTCCAAGATAAAATTAAACTTTAAATCAGATTAACTTAAAAATATGTTTTAGATATGCCAAAAATAAATTTTTTAAATATTTGAAATATTATTCCTTTAAAGAAAGCTAAATTATAAATAATTACTCTATAAACAACTGGACGAAACAGCAAAGCGGGATCTCATGTGTCTGTCTTTAACTTAAAAATATTTTTTTTTAATAATTGTCTGTGTGAAGAAAGTTAAAAAATACATACTGTATCAAGAACTCGTATTTTTTAACATTATTCATTTAAAATGGTTTTAAGATCATATTAACTTAAAATAAGTTTTACTATATAAAAAATATTTGTGTATGTCTTTGACTTATAAATATATTAATTAAAATAATTGTCTGTCTGAAGAGAGTTAAAATAAAAAGAATACGTACTGTATAAACCACTCGTGAATCATTATGCGCCGGACAGACGCCAGACAGAGGAGCCAGGGTGGAGGAGGCACGGTGGAGTAATGGATAGCGGCTTGGATTGAGGAATCGCAGAGCCGAGTTTGAATTCCAGTCGAATCCATTACATTCACTTACGTGCTAATACCTTTGGGAAAGGTGTGAATCCTCTTCTTCTCCCTCCGGCTATAGGTAAATAGCAGGACAGACTGGGTTCTATAGCCTTGGATGGCAACTGGTCTAGGAGAAGGAAAAACTCTGAATTCAAAACCTGTGGAGGGTCGTTTGGGGACCTTGTGACACTTAGTGCACCAGGTTTCTGTAATCGGCCCTTCAAAAAGTGTGGATGGTCCTGCACGAAACCTTCACCACTATAATCAAATCTCATGTGCTATACATGCGGGTTGGGGACTGCTTGTGAATTCCAAATTCCCATGAAACTCCAATATTGGAGCAAGCTCAACCCACCTCGGGTGAATGCCGTTATAAGAAGAGGAGAGGACAGACGCAACACACAAGCACGCATGCGCACACACAATCACATACTTTTAGTATTATATAGGTAAATAGCTTAGAATTAAAGTTCTAAAAGAGACCATTATAGATTACAAGACATTTGAGATATTGCAGCACGCTCGTGATTCCGTCGTTTCAGAAGAAACTGAGAAATCTGTCGAATGAAGCCGTTTAATTTATAAGGATGTCATTTTTTTCTTCTCTCTGAGTTCTTTTTACATCCTTTTTCTTTTTCAAAATCAACCATTTCTGGGTTTTTTCTTCGCTCTTTTCCCATTCTCTCCCCACTGTCCACCACTCTAGCACTCTCCATCTCTTTTATCTCTCACTCTCTGTACATTTTTTACTTCTCACTCTCTGTAGATCTCTCTACTTTAACCTCTAGCTCCTCTTCTCTTGTCATCGTTGTTTTTTCTCTCTTCAAATTTGTCTCTCTCTCCCCAACAGTCTCTCTTTTTTATACCATTTCAACCTGCATCTGACGTTATCTCCTGTATCCATCTTCCTTTCTATCCTTGCTTCCAAACAATTCTTTCTTTCTTTCTTTCTCTCTCTCTCTCTTTTCTTTCTTATTCTTATTCCCCAGTTTCTTTCATTCTTTCTTTTTATCACTTTCAATCCTCTCTCTCTCTCTCTCTCTCTCTTATTCCTTTTCTTTAAACTATTTTTCTTACTCTGTTACTCTCCTTCATTCATACCATCAATACCTCCATATTGTAATTAAAACAGTTTGAAAGGTTTAAACATTTTAACGGGGGTTTATTTAACGTGCAGCATGTTAATATATATTTGTTGAATTTTTCAAAATGCTAAAAAATGTCAACAATTTTCAGAACTTATGACACTGTTTACTTTTTTCTACCACCAAATTATGATCAAAATTCTGAGGTCGTTACCACTTTCAAGGGAGAAATTTCTTTCTTTGAATAAATAAGCAATTATAATTGAAAAACCCATTTAACCCACATTTAAAAAAAATCGGATATTTTTAGAAAATTTACTGTTATTGAAAAACAACAGTCGGTTATGTGCCATGCATGATACACGCTTAGGCAGACTTTTTTCCCGCAGTAGGTTGCCATTTCTTTTTGCGGTAGACTAGTTGCCATCCAAAACTGTAGAACCCAGTCTGTACTACTATTTACCCATAGCTGAGGAGAGAAGAATATTCATACCTTTCCCAAGGGTATTTGCACGTAAAAGAATGCAGTGGATCCGACTGGAATTCGAACTCGACTCTGCGATTTCTCAATCCGAGCCACTATCCATTACTCCAGCTTGTAAAATGTAGTAAGCAATCATTTCCATTTCTCCAGATTTATGGCCACATCACGTTGAAGGACCTGTTCTCGTATGATCACAGAAGTTAAGCAACTCGGGTTGGTCAGTACCTAGGTGAGTGACTGCTTGGGAATACCAGGTGTTGTAAGCTTCGAACTGTTAATCGGAGAGCCGAGTTCCAATTCCAGTTGGTTTCTTTATATTCACTTACCGTCGGAAATATATGAATCCACCTCGTCTTCCCCCAGCTATGGTTTAATTAGTAAGAGTTGTATCACTAATACCATCATTATCTTACAATCTAAATATGTTTTTCTGGCTTTAAATAACCTTCTGTTGTAGAGTAGCTTTCACAATGGAGGATTGTATTTCACTAAGTCGTCCTAAATTAGGTTCGACGTACAAAACGTTAGGAACTTGAAATAAGAGTTAATGACGCAGCAATCTAGTTGTGATGGTTGATACTTCAATGTCCGACATCGACTGACTCACTCAACACCGCTGAGCTCAACTGGCGACCACTGCTACTACTACTACTTATTATGTGTGGGAGAGTCTATTACAATAGAATAGGTAATGTTCTGGTATAACACCTTCAAAGGGTTGATAAGCTATAGAAAAACGAATCAGTCAATCAAATCCATTTATCCAGTAGCACGAAGTACGTCAATCAATGTAACACATGCTGATTTGACCAAACCTCATTTTATCTTTTGTGACTTTTATTAATAATCTTGAGCCCGAGGTGACCGCCCCTCCGGCCATTAATCTTCCTTTAAGACTGGGGTCATTAACGGGTGATTGAGGCGTCCCTGTGACGAAGGCGGGGTTTTAAAATATTTTACTTTTGGTCCAATGTATTGTTGGGGCCTCCACGATAAACTCAACCTAGTGTCAAAATTTTTGTATAAGGTCGATGCATTTCTCATGCAAATTTACTATTATTCTCAACTCCAGGGTTCTATTCCCCCACCCAAAAGTACTTCACTCCCTCTTGGTCGGGAGACGTGACTCAATAGGGAATTTCTATGAGGAATTTGTATTGGTAATTCCAGGTACAGATGGGGTTCCCACTTTAAACTTAGTTTCCATTCGAGGGACCCACTTTAAACTTAATCATTTTCCATATTCCATTCGAGGGACCCACTTTTAAACTTAATCATTTTTCCATATTCCCCCATTTAAGGGATCATTTTCCATATTCCATTCGAGGGACCCACTTTAAACTTAATCATTTTCCATATTCCATTCGAGGGACCCACTTTAAACTTAATCATTTTCCATATTCCATTCGAGGGACCCACTTTAAACTTAATCATTTTCCATATTCCATTCGAGGGACCCACTTTAAACTTAATCATTTTCCATATTCCATTCGAACCCACTTTAAACAATCATTTTCCATATTCCATTCGAGGGACCCACTTTAAACTTAATCATTTTATTCCATTCGAGGGACCCACCAATATTTTCCATTCCATTCGGGACCCACTTTAAACTTAATCATTTTCCATATTCCATTCGAGGGACCCAAACTTTAAACATTTTCCATATTCCATTCGAGGGACCCACTTCCATTTTCCATTCCATTCGAGGACCCACTTTAAACTTAATCATTTTCCATATTCCATTCGGGACCCACTTTAAACTTAATCATTTTCCATATTCCATTCGAGGGACCCACTTTAAACTTAATCATTTTCCATATTCCATTCGAGGGACCCACTATTCCATATTCAAATCGGGGACCCACTTTAAACTTAATCATTTTCCATATTCCATTCGAGGGACCCACTTTAAACAATTCCATTCGAGGGACCCACTTTAAACTTAATCATTTTCCATATTCCATTCGAGGGACCCACTTTAAACTTAATCATTTTCCATATTCCATTCGAGGGACAGCGAACTTAATCATTTTCCATATTCCATTCGAGGGACCCAAAACTTAATCATTTTCCATATTCCATTCAGGGTTTTTCGAGGGACCCATTTAAACTTAATCATTTTCCATATTCCACGAACCCACTTTAAACTTAATCATTTTCCATATTCCATTCATCTGATGTTAATCTTTATAACTTTAAAACAATCATTTTCCATATTCAAATCAGGGGACCCACTTTAAACTTAATCATTTTCCATATTCATTCGAGGGACCCACTTTAAACTTAATCATTTTCCATATTCCATTCGAGGGACCCACTTTAAACTTAATCATTTTCCATATTCCATTCGGGACCCACTTTAAACTTAATCATTTTCCATATTCCATTCGAGGGACCCACTTTAAACTTAATCATTTTCCATATTCCATTCGAGGGACCCACTTTAAACTTAATCATTTTCCATATTCCATTCGAGGGACCCACTTTAAACTTAATCATTTTCCATATTCCATTCGAGGGACCCACTTTAAACTTAATCATTTTCCATATTCCATTCGAGGGACCCACTTTAAACTTAATCATTTCCATATTCCATTCGTACTTTAAATTTAATCATTTCCATATTCCATTCGAGGACCCAATTTAAACTTAATCATTTTCCATATATTCCAGGGACCCACTTTAAACTTAATCATTTTCCATATTCCATTCGAGGGACCCACTTTAAACTTAATCATTTTCCCTTCGAGGGACAGCGAGGGTTAACGCCACCACCAAAGTGCATTTATCATGTTTCAGGGTTTTACGTAATTTATGCATAGATGGACAAACAAATTTGAGCTTTATATATCAGATGTATATAACTCTATGTACGCTTTGAATTACAGGATGGGAACAAAGATATGGCCTAATTATATACATATAATGAGGACTCTTTATTACACTGATATATTTCCATAAACATATATATATATATATATATATATATATATTATAGATACACCTAGTGAGTTTGACAAACCTAGGTTTCATCTACAGATCGTCGTTGACGATCCGTTTAAATAAACCTACGATTTTGTCTATTTATATATATATATATATATATTGTATTTATATATATATATATATATATATATATATATATATATATATATATATATATATATATATAGTCCTCATCTTTATTACAATGTTTTCGGCCGTTGTACGCTCGGAATGCCGAACTGAACCCTTTATTTCATTTTTTTAGTTCCACGTGCCATGTTTAATGGATGTCAGTTATCTCCTGTTAATTCCCCTCTGAAAGTTCTCCACTGCCTTAACCAGGTATTGAACTCACACTCTTTGGGTCCTGTCACTAGATCTACCTAACGCCTTTATCCACTGTACTTGAGGACATCTTTGTATGAATTTCTGTGTATTATAAACCTAATAACTTCAGCAACCTTTTTTTACCAGAGCTCATATTGCAATTTTTGTTGTCATTATCGCTTTTCTCAGGCACTCCTTATTACTGGTTCCCATATTGTGTTCATTTCTATGCTTGGTCAGCTCAGGAGATTTTTATAGCCTAGCATATGTGCTACTTCCAATGGTTTTCTTTTTCTCTGATCTCAAACTGATCCCACAGAGCGCGATGATCTCTTTTTTTATGTGGTCAGCCACGCCTGATTTTTCCATTTCCCTTCTTGTTACAGCTTTCTGGTGTTCGTGAAGCCTTACCTTAAGGGGGCGGCCTGTCTCCTCTTTATATTTCTTTCCGCAGCTGCACGGGATAGCGTACACACAGTCTTTAGTCATGTCCTCCTCTATGGGAGGGTCTTACTCGTGAGAGGTATGTGCGAATTGTATTAATCGTGTGTGCATGTATATATATATATATATATATATATATATATATATATATATATATATATATATAGTAAAACCTTGGTAAGTTTGTCTGGCTCTCTAGGTTTGACTAGGTCTGTTCTACTTTTGTATTGATCACTTTTTCTTTGGGCTTTGGACCTGTATGCTGTACGATTATTTTCGACAGACGTTCATATTCATAGCTCTTTCTTTTTTTTTCAACCTTTTTTTCCTTCGTGATTGATTTGACCATTAGCAAATCAAGAAACCGAAGGTTTTCCTAGATGAATGTAGTTACCTATATATATATATATATATATATATATATATATATATATATATATATATGTATGTGCGTGTGTAGGAAAATATTTTATGTATTTCTGAAGTTTTCATGGCTCTCTCTGATGCAATCTATTGGCTATCGTAGCTCGTTTAAAAGCCTTGAAAAAATTAATAAGACAAACGATGGAACACAATCGAGAGAAACACAATCAGATTCGGTCAGCGTGCAAACATTTTTCTTTCACATTTTTTTTTTGCGTCACGAGATAAAATTATCTGAAGACAGCATTGTCAATGATAATCAAAAATACATTTCTTACGATAATCCAAAATAAACAAAACAGTGGCCCAATCCAGAGGATTCGTTAATATTTGAACTAAAAATATTGCACAAAGTTTTTCTTTCTGTTTTCTTTGAAGTAGAGTTTACCGAGCAGTTCAAATAGATCTATTTGAACTGCTAGGAAAACTCTATTTATTTCGAAAATATATTGAAATAATCCATAACATATACTCCTCTTTATATGTTTGTCCCCTTAAGACGTAGGCGATCATGGCTTTCCACAATTTCCTGTCCCTTATCCTTAATAAATTTTGTCGTTTTTTATTTCTTCTTAAGCCTGTTCTGTCATTCATTTGTTCAAGTTAAGTATGCTATACGTTGTTTACCTCTGTCCCTCTTGCCTTCAACCTGTCTACCTAATGCCTTTATCCACTGTGCCATGTGTACTTGAGGACATCTTTGTATGAATTTCTGTGTATTATAAACCTAATAACTTCAGCAACTCTTTTTAACAGAGCTCATATTGCAATTTTTGTTGCCATTAGCGCTTTTCTCTGGCACTCCTTATTACTGGTTCCCATATTGTATTTATTTCTATGCTTGGTCGGCTCAGGAGATTTTTATGGCCTGTGAGTATCATGACTTTCGATGCTCTCTTACCTCATTATGTTCCCTAGAAATTTCAACTGTCTCTTTCTGATGTTAAGCATAAGTTTCCTTTTTGTTTCCATTTTCTCTCACACGGTCGGTCCAAGATATCCTCAGCATCCTTCTGTAAATCACATTTCTGTGGCTTCAAATCTCTTATTCTTCTGTGAGAAAATTGTCCAAAATTCACTGC